TAGGCCAGTCTTGATCTCATTGACAGTCTTCCTGCTCTTGTTCCATTCTCTGGTCCATCCCTGGTCCTCCTTTCGGAGAGCTTACCTCCACCTTGTGTCCTGCCCAGCATGGCCTCAGTCTGGTTTTCTCCAAGAATTAAGGTCAATTTTTACCTGAAGCATTTGGGTATGACTGTATTAAGTTGGATGAGAATTCTGGAGGGAGGGGAGACTGGAGGAGAGAACTGTCAGAGGAGAAAGTCCTCGTGCTAGCTTCTGGTGAGAAGAGTCACGTGCTGGGAACTTCCTCTAGACCTGGAATAAAGTACTAACACCTATGAGCAAACGCACACAACCGGGCTCGTCACATTCTAGGCATGCCATTAACACTCACACATGTCCTTACCTTTACCCCTGAGGAGGGCAGAATCAATCCTCTCAACAACTCAGCTCTTGTTTCCTCATCAGGACAATGGCTTCATACGGGAGGAGCTCATGTGAAAGCAAAGCCTACTGAGTCAGTTCAACGGTGGCACCTCATCACACTCCAACCAAGAAAACCTTCATTTGGTAAAGATCTATCGATTACCTGCCATATGCAAGAGAATCTGATAGGCAAATGCAGTGTGGGTGGAGAGTAGAGACAAAAAGCTGTGTTCGAGCCAGTTCCGTAGGACTCTTTGTGGAAAGTCCCATAAAGAAAATATTTATTCAGAATTAGCAAATCAAAGTCACCAGATGTGCTGAATCATGCTTTTGCTTGGCATTCATTGCCGTGACATTAATCAAGCGGAATTCTTCCCCCGTTTGTATGGACATACTGTGCATTTCAGCCTCCGAGACAAAAGATAACTATGAGTACCAACTCTCCAGGAAATGGCAGTTATCATCAATTAAGCCCGTTACTGAGTCATCAACAGCTAGGAAGATAATTATTCCAGAACCACTGGAAGAGGGAGCACGTTGGATAGGGAGCTGGTAAGTGCTTTTCCAGGAAAGAGTTCGGGAAGAAGCAGCAAAATGGGGGCATCATGGGAGTGGGTGTCAGGCATCTCTCTCCAAGAATGTGGTCATAAGAGAGGCTAGGCAGAGAGGCCTAAATGTACTACGTATTTTCTTCTGGTTTATCTGCGGTTGTGATACTTTAACCCAAAGCTATGGATTACCAACATAATAAATGAAAGAAAGAACAACCTACTCTGGTCAAATAGCCACTCAGCAGCCCTCAATCTTGAACACGTTGGTACAGGACCTCGGTTTGGCTTGACCCTCCTCCCGCGGAGTGTCTCTCTTGAACTGGCAATGTTTTCATTCCCACTTCCCTGGGTTTGGCACAGGTAATGCTTATTCTTTTATGCTTAGCACCGTGGTCTGCTTTTGCTATTTCCTTTTGTAAGAACCTGTCTGTTTCCTTGCTGTTTCTAAGCTGAGGCAATAAAATCGTTCAGTTCTGTTCTCTCCTTAAAGCTACCATCACTCCTAACGTATTATGACAGTGTACATAAAAAAGTGCTTTATCAACAGCAAAGCAACATACAAATGTTAATTGATGTGATTCTAAGTAGCTGTTCTAAGTATCTCAAATTGATTTCCAATCACAATTCCTGTTATCAGGTCAAATATGACATCGAAGTGCCCTCTCTGCTTCTGTGATGACTGAGCCGTCCAGGCACGATGCTATTATGACAGCTGGGAATCATTTGAAAATGAGCTTCACTTCACTTGGCATATCAGATTGCAATTTTAAAAACTGGGTCCTATTTTTTTCCCCCAAGTATCAGACTTGGTTCATATTCAAGAGGCACATGCCCCCTGCAGGAGAGGGGCTCAGACATGCCGCTGGTGCTGGGACATCAAACCAGGAGCAGGGGACCTGACGGAGGCACCTCGAGGATGGTCAGCCAGGTGGGGGGCATTTGCAATTCAAGGCCAATTTTGACAGGGGACAGGTGGTAATCTTGGCAGCTGATGGACTTCAGAGAGAGCCAGCCAAGGACCCCCGTGGGTGTGCTAGCAGGAGGGAAGAGCCTTCCCAGAAGTGCTGGGAGGGATGGGGTTGTGGCAAGCAAACACATCAGTGATGACTATGTTCCGTGACAGTCCCTGGGAACTTGTATAAGGATGCTTAGGCACAAATGTCACATTTCCTATTTTTGTTCTCCTGGGAACCTTCCCCTCCTCATAGGTTCACCCCATTCAACAGATGCTCCCAGACATAGAAGAACTCAATTTAGACTCCATTTACCATGCCTACTACCTAATAAAAAAACTTCCCTAAAAATATTTAGCATGAATTCAGTAGCTGTTAGGTGAAGCTGCAAAAATCCACTTCTTTACATGTTGCCAAACTTCTGGCTTTGTAGATGCAGAAGAATACGTAGGGTGTTATAGCATTTGAGCCAAAAGATGGAGAGAGGAAAGGATGCCAGTGTATTTGCACGTGTGTGTGGAAGAAGGGCGAGAAACTTAGAACATTAGTTGACTTGGCAGACACGGATGAGAAGGCTGGGGGACAGGGGTTGAATGGAGACCTCGTGGTACATCCTTTTTACATTTTGAGTTTTGAACCCGATGACTGTATTGACAATTCAAAAATTAAATTTTGTTAATTCCCAGTATTGTGACCATCTGTCACCTTGCTTTTAATTGCTGCTCATGTGAGGCCCTTGACTTCCTTACCATCACCACTCATCTATCTTCTTGATGGCCATGTCTTTTGGGGACATCACAGCATTGTCACTGACTGCTATCAAGTACATGGAACTTTTCTGGTTTTGTGAAAAGATTAAATTTTTTTTTTCTTTCTCTTTTTGTCCATATCTCTCCAGGACGTGTGGTTTAGTTTTACTTTAAGTGGAAACACTGATAGGCAGAAAAGTGTCCTCAGGGTAGTCTGGCAGACAATTAGTTTTATGTTCCCAGATGAGGGGCTAAGATTCAGGAAAAGGCTTCAGCCCATATGTAGTCCGTAAGACCAAGATGGGCTCCAGTCTAACCAAAGTTGGAGGATGTGAAGTTATGCACATTGTCAAAGCAGATCTGGATACAGGGACCCAGCTGTCACCCCATTTTCCTGCTGTTCTGCACATCCAAACTCCTGGGGAGAGCTGTCTTCATCTACTTTCTCCACTTTATCATTACTCCCTTCACTCTTCACTCCTGCAATGGCTTTAATCAACATCCATGTTACTCATTCCAATGGCCAAATCTCCATTTTCATCATATTTGACCTGATGGTCACATTTGACACAAACTATTCCTCCCTCCTCCTTGAAGCCAGCTCTTCTCTTGTTCCACGTCACTCCACCCCTCTGACCTTACGGGGCCAACTGCTTAGTCTCTTTTGATGACCCTTTCTTCTCCAAGTTTTACTTATTAGAGTTCCCTGCTCTTGGTTTTCTTCTCCTCTCTATACTACCTTCCAAGGGACCGCATTTGGGTCTGCGCTCTAATTACCACCTGTATGCTCCATGACTCTCCAACCCCTGACTCCAGACTCTGTCCTCCTGAGTCCACATGTGCACATCTAGATGCCTGCCTGATAACCCCACTTTGACGTCAAGTGGCCATCTCGGACCCCACAACCTCACAACAGAACTCTTGATTTCTGTCCCCAGACCTGCTCCCCACCTACTCTTCTCCATCTTAGTAAATAGCAACCAGCTGCTCAGACCAAAAACCTGGGAGTTGATCTTGATTCTTCTTTTCCTCTCCTACCACCATTCATCCATCTACCAGCGAGTTCTGTTACGGTCAACTCCAAAAGAGATCCTGAATCTCATCCCTGTCTTCCTACCCCAACACCCTGTCTCTCATTGTTTTATTGCGGCAGGATTTTCCTGTTTCCATTCTTGCCCACATACAGTTTACTTCTCAAGAGCAGCCAGGAGGTGGGATAGATTCACTCATACCACCCTCTGCTTCGAACTCTCGAATTGCTGTTAAGTCTTTGCCTGAGTTCTTTCCTCTAAATCTTGAGGTGGCTCCCTCTGCTCCAGCTCAGGGCCAAGCACTTTGGTGAGGTTCCTCTGAGGGCTGCTGCCTAGTAGCAACGTCCAGGACCCTCCACACCCCATCCCCCAGGATTATATTCTTCACAGTACTCTGCACATTCCAAAATCTATGTGTTTCTTTGCTTATGTGTCTACTCTATGTATCCCTCCCACTATCATGTGAAAGGGAAACTTTGTCTATCTTCGTAATTTATGTATCCTCGGAGCCTGGGATGATGCTGTATTGGATAGGAGAGGCTTAATAATTCATCAGCAAGGAACACTCCCAAAACTCAGGGGTTGAAAACAACAAAGGTTTGTTTTCGCTCAAACTACATGTATGACCATAGGTTGGCAGGGGAGTTCTGAGCTATTCAGAGACCCAGGCTGAAGGCAGCTTTACTGTGTGGTGACACTGTCACCTCAACAGGAGTCCCCCCATTACTGAGGAAGGAGGGGGAACAGGCATGGAGAATCTCATGCCATCTCTTAAATGCTTCCACACGGAGGAGACATGCGTCATTTCTGCTCATCCTGTACAGGCCATAGCAAGTCACAAGGTCATGTCTAACTTCAAGGGCCCTGGGGAATGTGATCCTCTTCTGTGCCTGGAAGCAGAAGAAAACTGGCAATAGTGGTGGGCGGCACCCTCGCACAAGCAAACCTAGTATGCCTGATTCTAAAGCTCACGGTGCCTCCGTGTTTGAAAGAATATGGCCCTAGAGTTTCTGTTTTGATGAACATGTTCTTTCAATCTGATTTCTAGTTATTTCTTAATACCTGGGAAACGGTGCCAGTAGCCCCTGGTGCTTCTGAGGTATAACTGCTTTTGTTGTGTCCCCCAAGTAACTTGTATCCTGGTAGGTTACAGATAAGTGGGGTTTCCATAAATCATTTTACCTTACATTATTTTAACAATGATGAATTACGTTTTTAATGGAGACAAGATATTTGAAATATCAAACTAACGTATTTTTGTTTCTTCCTTGCATCATCATCCTTTAGATCATCATTTATGGCCGGGGGCAAGAGATGGTGAACAAATGAAGGGATGAATACATGAATGAGGTGATTTCTTGGGCAAGACAAGATGTTTAAAATGAGGCTCTGAACGGAAAGTGGATTTTTCTAAATTCGTTTCGTATATTAGGGACCCAACCAAGAGTTCCTCATGTACAGTAGAGAGGATGCTACTCCATATGGGAGAGCTTGAGACTGCTGCCTAAAGGTGAAGACAAGATTATGAAGCAGGAGAAAGAAGGTGAAGACAAGATTATGAAGCAGGAGAAAGAACAGTCACCCCTTCCGCCCCAAGCAATTATGGGTTGCAGAGGGGAGAGAGTCCCGAAGATGGGGGTGGTCAAGCATGTGGGCTTTTCCTTCTTGTAACTGAAAGCACAGCAGTTTTAGAAAGTATGTAAATGTGAGACTAGGAGAAACTGGTAAGAATCCATTTCCTATGATAGTATAATACTAGCTACCTGTAATGACCCGGGCACTGTGTTATATGCATCATACACAATCATTTCTTTCAGCCCTCACAAAGAACCCTCTCGCCATCACTTCAACAGATAAGGAAAGTGAAGCTAGAGAAGGCATGTGACTGGCCCAAGTCTATCTAGGATGTGACAATTCAGGTGTCTCTAACTAAAGAGCCCACACCTTTAGTTGCTGTGCTATCATGTTACTTTCAGTCATAGTCAGTCTAGAGCTTAATTGATTTGCCTGCTCAGAGTCTCTTCTTCCGCGAATTCCTCCTCCATACTGCCACCAAAGAGATCCAATTATGCCACTCCTCCACTTAAGACATGCAGAATAGGCTCCTCGTTGCCAGTCAGCCCAAAGTCACCATGGCAGACATTTAGGAAAGGAGCTGCGGAATGGAACATGGGATGAACACTTGTACAGCAAGCAATTACCCTCCTTGCTGCCCGATGTCTTCTCCCATTTCATTAGATAAGTTGATTCGTTCAATAAGCCTGTGCATTACAGCATGTCTTAAAATGCTGTCTATCTTCTCCACAGATGGATATTCACTTGAAACAAGCTACTACACCACACCTCTATGGCCAGGGTGTGTGATAAGCGCGATCTCACAGGCTCCTGTGCTCAGAAGTGTTTGGAGTTTAATGCCCTGTGGTCGTCATCTTGAAATCTGTTAATACTTTTATCTTTGAATTTGTGTTCTGTAAGTGAAATATGATGGGTCTATGCAGCCTACACCCAGGGCTCGAAGCCTTAACTCACAGGTGGTCCCACCTCCCTAGTGCCCCTCTGAGATGAGTTCTCACCCGCCCACCAAGCTCCAGGCCTCCAGGCTCTGCCTGGCCTCCCAGTCCCTGCTCCTGCCTCTGATGACTGCAGCAACCTGATGGGGGTGGCCCAAGTTCTACTGTTACACTCCACCCAGCACAGGTGGGGTCAAGGTCAGGCACACATCCTGCTGCTTCTTGGGGTGGGGCGAGGCAGTGCAAGTCCCTGCTCTGGGCTGAAGTGACCACAGCAAGTTCACCGGGCAACTCCATGCAGCCTTCTCACCCACTCGCAATCCCAGGAAGTTGCCATGTCTTGGGGGTCACCTATCCACTGAAGGTTAGAGCAGTAGGCCCATGAAAGGGGAGATTCCCTGATCTACCCAGACCGGTGTCTGCTTCTTCTTTCTGCACAGGGCGGTGCAGATTATGTAACCTACTCTCAGGATTCTCTGATGTGTTTCTTCAAATACAGTGGAAATGTCAAGTCGTAATAAAAATATGACATTAAGGTTACCTCCAAGGGTGCTGAGTGCAAGACACTAACAATTTAATAAATTTAGGCTTTTGCATTGACCTATGTTAATGTGTGATTTTATGCTATTTTGCATGGCAAGGGAAGCTTCTCAGAATTCATTTGATTGTTAGATCAATGTGAAAATGCATTATCTGCCTGCCTTGAGCATGGCCAACTGTTGACCTCTTCAATTAAGTAGACTTGAGAAAGAAAATTCAATTACAATGAGCAAACATTTCTGGAACACTTTCTATGTGTGTAAGGCCCTGTGTCAGGCCTTGTGGGGAATAAGCAGATCATGAGATTTGTTCCTAGTTTGGGAGTGCTTACAGGCAAGAGGGGAGGTAGAGATACATGTCTGGGTAACCATGGTATAACACACTCTTTTCCTTATCAAAGCAAAGCAAATGGAATTAGTGGTCAAGCTGGACCGTTAGGCAGTACCTCACGGCAGGAGATGCTAGCTCCTTGCTTTATGTCCATCTCCCTTCTTCGGGAATAGAATTCTACTTCTCTTCAGGGTCTGTCCCTTGGGAAAGATGAGTCTCTCTCCAGCTCAGCGGTAAATCTCGATGGGCTTCTCTCTCTTTGTGGCAAAGTCTCCCATTGGTGATTGGCTTAGAGATGGCCATGTGACTCAGCTGTGGCCCATCAAGCATGAAGGCAAGTCTCTGGCTTGCTTTTGGAAAGACTTTCTTAGTAGAGGTAACTTTGTGGTTAAGGGCGCAGTCTCTGAAGTGGACTGCCTGCTTTATAATCCCGGCTCCACCGCTGACTAGTTCTTCGTCATCAGGGGAGTCACTTAACCTTTCTGCCTCCATTTCTTCATCTTTTAAGTGGGGTTAATAATAATACATAGCTAATGGGGTTGTGGCAAGGATGAAGATTTGTTAATATTTGCAAAGCACTTAGAAAAGTATCTGGTGCACAGTAAGTGTTATGTGTTAATTGTCATTATCATTATTTTGAGACGAGATGCTAGAGGTGATAAGTCTCTTTCATGACCCTGGATGTCTGTGCGTCTGGATGTGACTCCTGTAACTTCCACTGTGGCCTTGTGCACATAAGGGTGGCTGGCCTAGGAGGGAGGAAAGCGGAGAGAAAGAGAGGAAGAGCCTCAGTCCTTGATGAAGTCACTGACACTGTTACCAATCCTGGAGTCCCTTCTACCTCTGGACTCCTTGTTATGAGATGCTAGACATTTCTTGTTCAGGGTGTTTTCCGTCAGGCTGTCATGTTCCTGGAATCAAGGGTGGCTTCCTGGTGTCTGTCCCAGAGCCCCTCTGGGGGTGTGCCTTCCAGGTCCCACAGGTGTGCGGGCTGTGGACTCTCCCGGAGCAGCTCCTGCCAACCAGCTGTGCCCCCATTGCTGGCCTTATTTTAATTATGACAGGATGGCTTCCTGAAAGGCCAAGATTTCCGAGACTTCCAAGATCTCCCAAAATCCACCATCTACTCTTGATATTCACAGCGCATGTGCTTTGAAGTCACTTTCAAGTTTGCAGACATTATGGCTATGTAATTTCTCCATAAAACACAGTAAGTTAACACTTGAACAATCCCCTTTGATTCTTAATGATTCTATAGATCTAAGGACAGGAATAAGTAGTAAACTTAATAATTTTTCCACTAAAATAAACTCTACCCTACATTACATCATTTCTTAAAAAGCAACACTAAGAACTTACATTTCCAGAAATAAGGTGAAGAGGATGAAAAACATTTGCAAGGAATACATCAGGAGAGTTACTGATTACATGGAGAGGCGTTCTCTAAATGATTGAGAAGAGACACTCACTCGCCCACACCCACAGTTTAAATATATGGATATATATCCATATCAAATTTGTGCTTCAGCAAAATCACAAATTCATAAATATTACATATCTTTGGGATCACTGAAAGATTCGGAAATACTATCAATTTTTTTGGCATGCTTAAAAGTCATGGTTTTTATCTCTTATGCCCACTCCCAGAAACTGATAATGGACGGTGAGGGCCTGTCCTGTTGGGTGGAGATGAGTGCTGGGATCAATCAGGAATGTCTGCCTTACTATTGGGTATTTACCCCAAAGATACAAATGTAGGGATCCAAAGGGGCACGTGCACCCCAATGTTTACAGCAGCAATGTCCACAATAGCCAAACTGTGGAAAGAGCCAAGATGTCCATCGACAGATGAATGGATAAAGAAGATGTGGCATATATATACAATGGAATATTACTCAACCATCAAAAAGAATGAAATCTTGCCATTTGCAATGACATGGATAGAACTAGAGGGTATTACGCTAAGTGAAATAAGTCAATGAGAGAAAGACAATTATCATATGATTTCACTGATACGAGGAATTTGAGAAACGAGACAGAATCATAGGGCAAGGGAGGGAAAAATAAAACAAGACTAAACCAGAGAGGGAGACAAACCATAAGAGACTCTTAATCTCAGGAAACAAACTGAGGGTTGCTGGAGTGGTTGGGGTGGAAGGGATGGGGTGGCTGCGTGATGGACATTGGGGAGGGTATGTACTACGGTGAGCGCTGTGAATTGTGTAAGACTGATGAATCACAGACCTGTACCTCTGAAACAATACACTGTTTATCAATTAAAAAAAAAAAAAGGAACGTCTGCCTTGGGTGTGGGTGGCGTTGGCGGGACAGAAATACAGTGTTCCTGCAGTGCAGGGTTTCCCAGTTTCTGCCTACTCTGCTTGAAAGGTGATTAGGAGGTTGTAGGCCTGATTCCATAATTACAATGACTCTGAACTTCAGGATAAAGTTATGTACTCAAGCAGTGTACATTTACTGAGCACCTTTGATGCATGAGACATACCCTTAGGCATTGTTGGAAATTAAAAAGTGAATCCGACTCACTCCAACCCACAAAGACATTGGTTAATAGAAGACGTGTGTGTGTGTGTTTAGGATATGAGGGGATACAGAGCTGCAAGAAAGGGTTAGACTAAGGGAGGGACAGGAGATGTGTCAAAGGCAGGAAAGCATCCTTTGAGTGAGTGTGGAAGGTGGCAGAAGGCATGGCAGTGAGGGTTCACTGGATGGGAAGCCCCGCAGTGATGTAAGGAAGACTGTTGGGCTGGATAGAAAGGCAAGACTGTTTCAAACGGAGCGGCCAGAATGAGCCAAAGCAGCACAGTGGAAAGCTCCCAGCTGTGGGTGACTGACTGCCTGGTGAGGACATGTCCTTGTGGTTTTATTCCAGTTTCTCTCCCTTCCCCACCCGCGAGTGAGAGGGCTGCTGTGGGCTTCATTAGCTTGTTGTGCTGATGTGACATCCATTTTCATAAGAGTTTTCTGGGCCAGGGGAAAACCTGCTCTTTGCAAAGATCATCTTTCATCACCATTTGACGTGTGACATATAACAAATGTCTTAAAGTAAAGGAGAGGCCCCACTGGTATCTCGCACTGTATATTTTTATTGTAAACCTAAAAGAACTGACAAAGGTTCCATCTTTATTTCCTTAACTACATACAGATTCATCAAATATTACCAATGAAGAACATTCCTGACGTCCTATTATTCCATTACACGAATAAGGCAAAAATTCTTTAACACATTGCTGGGCTAGAAACTAGTGTTGATTGGTTGAAACTGTGAAAACAGCTTAAAATTGTACATAGAAGCTCACTCCTAACATGCTCTTATGTTATGTCACACATACGCATACATATAAACATGAGGTAGGGTTTTGTTAAATTTCTTTTGTAAATGCTTCAAGAATGAAAGCAGAGCTGTTGGCTTTACTAAAACAATAATAAAGAGAAACCACAAATTGAGAAAAAATTGTTCTTCAGCGACATGCGGAAAGCTGTAAAGAGCCAGTCTAAGAAGCACCAAGAAACAGACTTGTCAATAAAATGAGGATACACATTTTAGAGTTAGAAAAAAAATATGAATTTAAATCAACCTAATAATCATCCTTGTAAAATTTACAGTGCATATTTGGAACATGAAATATGAACTTGGATGTTGAGGGACTTCTCAGGCCTTCATTTTACTTATTGATTGGCTTGTGGCTATCTTCTAAGCAAACCTAAAACAGAGAAGGTGATTTCTATGATACTGAGTAAATAGGTTCCATCTCGATCCAAAGCTCGCGGCAGGCAAGCTAGCTGTGTGTTCTCGTCCTCTCCCTCCCTCCTCGTCCCCTCCCCCTCCCTCCTTCCCACTCCGTGCCCTTCCTGGAGTTTTTATGGGCAGCCTTAGATCTATATTTACCCACTATATTTAGTAAGTTTGATTATGCATAGCCTAAATTCAGATCTGAGATGATGATCTAGATTTTTGTTCACTGAAAGAACTTTTTCTTTTCTTTTCTTTTATAGGTTTACAGCAAAGATGAAGGACCAACTTATTTCTCGCTCTTCCTGCTATTCGGTAGGCTTGTTTTGCCTCAGGCCTTTGCCCTCACTGTGTTTTTGTAGAAGGCTCTGCTTGCACATCTGCCCATGCCAGTTGCTTCCTGACATTTAAGTCACCACTCAGTTGCCACCTCTTCCGAGAAGCCTCCCAGATTACTCAATGTAAACAACACTCACATCCAATCCCTCGCCACTGTCCGGCCCAACACTCTGTTTGTTTCTGCTATCCCTTTATGCAGTTTTGGGTTTTTTGTTTTTTTGTTTTGTTTTGTTTTTGGTAAGTTTTCATGTCACTGAGAAAAAATTTTACATACAGTAAAACTGACCCTCTTTATTGTAGTTCTGCAAGTATCGACAAATGCATCCAGACACGTCCTGCCACCAGGACAATCAAGATACAGAAAGTTCCACTGCCCTGAACTATTGCCACATCTCTTCATAGCTAACCCTTTCTCAAGCCCAGCTCTGAGCTAGTCTTTGTATCCGCAGTGTTGCCTTTTCCAGAATGTCATATAAGTAGAATCATATATTATGTAGCATTTTGAGTCTGGTTTCTTTCACTTTCTTTAGCTTAATTTATTTGTGACTCATCTGTATTATTATATGTATGAGTATTTCTCTCCTTTTCATTACTGAAAATCGTTTCATTGTCTGGATGGATCATAGTTTGTTTATTCATTCTCCATGAGTTGATTCCAGTTTTGGTGATTACAAATAAAGCTGCCATAAACATTCAAATATAGTTTAATTTCAGATGTATAAATACCTAGGAGTGAGATTGCTGGGTCATCTGGCAAGTGCATTTTTAACTAGAGAAGAAACTGGTGAACTATGTTCAAAAGTGTCTGTATGATTTTGTATTCCTACCAAGGATGAATGAGAATTCTGGTAGCTCCACATCTTCACCAGAACTTGGTATCATCCAAATTTTCATTTTAAGCCATTCTCATAGTTGTGTAGCTGTATGTCATTATGGTTTTAATTTTCATTTCCCTGTTGGATAATGAGGCTGAACATTTTTTTAAGTGTTTATTTGCTGTTATTATCTTCTTTGATGGAAGGTCTGTTCAAATCTTTTGCCCTTAACAAAATTGTCTTATTATTGGGCTTTTTTGAAAATATTTTATCATACATTCTTTCTACATTCTGGATATTATTTTTTTTCAGATATGTGATTTCCTAATACTTTCACTCAGTTTGTAACTCATCTTTTCATTCTCATCATGTGTCTTTCAAAGGTAAGTTTTTAATTTTGATAAAGGATTTATCCTTTTTCTCTTTTCAGGAATTATGTCATATCTAAGAAATTTTTGTCTAACCCAAAGATCACAAAGATTTTCTTCTATGTTTTATTCTCAAAGTTTTATATTTTTAGGTTTTCTGTTTCAATCCGTGATCCCTTTTGAGCTAATTTTTATAGATGGTGTGAGATATGGGTGGGAGGTCACTATTTTTATTGCATATTGATATCCAATCATTCCAGCACAACTTTTGAAAGGCTGTCACCTCTCCATTAATAGTCTTTGCAACTGTGTCAAAATCAATTGACTGTAATGGTGGATGTTCATGTTTTTAGTAATTAACTTGTTGATCTTGAGATGTTTTTAGCATGCCACATTAGATGTTTTTAGATGGTATCAGGGATCAGACAAAAAACAAAAATGAATCTTTTGTTTTTGTGTGTAAGTCTATTTTAAGCCCTAAGAATGGGTAGAATAAAAAGCAGGTGGAGAGAAAGTTACTTATTTTGATGGAAAATTACCAATAATTCCTCTGGGTAATGCCAATTATTTTAGTTCTCCAACACACACACACACACACACACACACCCCTGTGCTGCTTTTCAGTTCCTCAATAGCAGATTGGAGTTGACTGTCGGGGAGCAGAAGGGCATTACCCCAGCTGAACATTAACTGAGCATCTACTACATGCTAGGTGCTCTTCAGAGATTTGGTCATTTAGCACATATCCTCATTGAAGATACTGAGGCCTAGACATTAGGAAAGGGTTGGTGAAAAATAAGAATCAAGATCTGGAATTCCCAGGGGAGTCACATTTTTAAGCACCCTTATCTACTTAATTAATTAAATACATCAGTCAGCCATGGTGCTGAGTGACAGAAGGGCATCTGCTGCGCCCCCCCCCCAACAGTCTGTGTGTTTGGACAGTGCTGTGGTCTTGAGTATCACTGAACCTGGACCAGCCCTCACTCTGACCTTGTAGCCACTGTGTTGTGTCTTTGTGCAGGGCTGGCCAAGGCCAAGGCCCTTTCCCCGTGTTTCCTGGTTAAAATCTTGTTCTTCTACGATGAAGTGAAGTGGGACTCAAGAGTTACTAGTTCACGTGGTTCTTGCACTCAAAATGTGGGTTTTCTAAAACCCCACGAAAATTCATTTTCTATCCCCAAATGCAAATGATTCTGTCTGGAATGAACTACAGATCATCATCTATTTACTTACTGAGAGAGTAGGAGCGCAGAGACCAGTAAGCAAAGGGAGAAAGACAGGAAACTAGCAATTACTGAACACCCATTATGTCAACTGTTAAGTACTTGGACATGGTATGAACATCCTTGTGTTGTTTATCCCATTTCACAGATGAGAAGACTGAGGCCTAGGCAGGTCAAACTGTCCTAGTGAATAGTCAGCATGTTCTGGGGCCACAATCTGTGCCCTTGACTTTACGTGACAGGACTGTGTAGGGGGATGGGAGTGAGAACTCCCCTCCTCCCTCAGAATTAAAAATGGCATCCACATCCCTCAATGGGAATAGGCTTTAAAGATTCCTACTATGTGTGACAACTTGCACACAACGTAAACAATGGCAGCCTTGCCTGTTTTTCTCCTCCCACGCGTCAAGGTCACCATTTCATTTTCCCATCTCTGCCAAAGAATTCCTGGTTTGGTTTCCTGTGTTTCTTCTTTTTATGCTTTTCAGTACTACAGAGACAGGATGCTTTGAATAAAAGCCTTGGGAGACATTATAATATGAGGGAAAAGTCGTTTTTTTTTTTTTTAAATAAGGAAGTCAAGAGTGACAGTGTCCGGTGGTTTTAATTGTGGGGTTGACTTCATGTGTGGATTGTGAGTGGGCTCATACTGACTAGGTGTAAAGATGGGGAGTTTTTCCAGAAACATCTGTCGTGTCCATCTCATTGTGGCAAGTTCTTTGTATCAGAAAAAATCTGCAGAGCTTCTAAAGAGAGGTATGTCCTGACTTACATTATCTCAAAAAAGGTCTCAAAAACATGTTTTCAATGGACTTGATGTTTTAGATGTATTGGAATAACTGCTACATAAAATCATCCGTTAGTGAGGGAAGGTCAGAGGAGCCCAGATTTAAACTCCACATTTTGCAGATGAGAAAACCGAATGCCAGAAGGAAGTGACTTTGCCTGAGGTCACACAGCTCATTAGAGCTCAAGTGGAATGAGAGTTCACTTTGTAGGACTCTCCAGTGCTCCCTGTTCCAGGATTAGATTGGCACATATTGAATTCCATTTAATGGAACAGAAAACATGCAACTCCATATCTCAAGATCCAAGTCTCCTCAGAGAGGAAGTGGGGATGCTTTTTCTCCTCATAGGAAAGATGGAATTAGTCTGACTCTCTTTACCAGGTCATGAGGTCAGTTGAGATTTTATATACATGGGTGTGAAATGGATGAGAGCATTTCTTACCTAAAGAAAGGATTCTTTAAATCGAGGATGTTCCCAGATCTGAAGCCTGTCTGGTTTACCAGCGCCACAATCTGAATGTCATAGCTCTGTCTGGATGGCAGAAAACAAAACAAAAAAACCATCATTTGACAAGACCGGTTATCTTCACAAACCCTGAGGGTGCTTTCTACACATACCTACCTGATTCATGAGTTTTGTTTTGTTTTTTATTAACCTAATGTATTATTTGTTTCAGGGGTACAGGTCTGTGATTCCATCAGTCTTACACAATTCACAGCACTCACCATAGCACATCCCCTCCCCGGTGTCCCATCACCCAGCCACCCCATCCCTCCCACCCCCCACCACTCCAGCAACCCTCAGTTCGTTTCCAAAATCTATCGTGAACTTACCAAATTCATGAGGGTTTTAAGAGTGCATGGGTGCCATCTTGTATATGGCCATATGTGTTTATCTGGATGCTACTAAATGTTTATTTGTTAGAAGACTTTGACAGTTATAATCTCTTGATCTAAAAAATTACCAAGTTAATGGTGTTTCTGGTTTTACCAAGAGCAATGACAGAAATGGCTTTAGTTAACAGAGGTACTTCGTGAGTTACCCATTGATGTACCAAAACAATCTTAATTGTGCAAAGACTGGGTAAGTTAAAATCTCAAACTGACAGAAAATCTCAGACTGACAGTTGACAAATGTGATTGATTTTAAGAGGCCCCAGATGAAGACTCATGTAATTCCAGTGAGAACTGGCTGATAAGAACAGCTAATAGGACATATCCTTGATGACTAAAATGAAGGAATTATGTTTATGGGATCTTTATTAGTCATATATATGCTCGCTCTGCCTGCCACTCCCCCTGCTTGTGCTTCTCTTCTCTGACAAATAAAATCTTTAAAAAATATGTATTTCTTCAGATGATACAGTGTTACATATTCACTGTAGAACAGAAAAATAAAGAAAAATAGAAATTAAATAAAATAATCCATAACATCACTGGACAAAGATTCTTCTACTCTAGAGTATTTTCTTATCCATTTTTTATAAATGTAAATTTTTAATAAAATCATCTAAAGTATTCCTTCATATGTCCTAATTGGATTTAACATAAGCAAGCATTTATCCTCTAATTCCTTTTTAAAAAAAATTTATTTGGGAGAGAGAGAAAGCAAGAGGGAGAGCATGAATGGTGGGGAGGGGCAGAGGAAGAGAGAGAAGCAGACTCCCTGCTAAGCAGGGAGCCAGATGCAGGGTTGGATCCCAGGATCCTGAGGTCATGACCTGAGCCGAAGGCAGATGCTTAACTAACTGAGCCACCCACATGCCCCATCCTATAATTCTCGACAATGTATTTTTCAGTATTATTATATGGGTATAGCACAGTGTATTTAATAATTCCCCACTGTCAAATATTTATATTTTTATAACATATTATAAACACGTAGTAACATATTATTACTTATAGTAACAAAAATTTAATTTTATGACAGAAAATCTGCTGTAAAGAACGTTCTTATAATACATCTTTACGTCCTATCAGTGGTTATTTCCTTGGAATAAATTCTTAGTGTTAGACTCACCAGGCTAAAGCACATAGACATTTAAGGTTCCAATACCTACCGCTAAAATGTCTTCCAGAAAGTGGACTGAATTACTTCCTCACCTACAAAGTATAAAAGTGCTAATTTCATTACACATCTTCCAATCCCTAATATTTTAAATGTTTGGGGTTAACATATTATTATTTTAATTTGAATTTCCTTGACGGTTTGGCTTCTGTTTCAAATTCCAGAAATTACTAAGGGATACAAAGGCCACCCTGTCATTACCAATAGTGGCCTGGGAAGGTGTATGTATAATGTCAGATCCCATGAAACCCGTAACTCCAGTTCTAGATTTTATCGGGGCCAATTACAAAGTAAGAGGGAAAATTAAAACAAAAAAATCAACGATGTCCTTTGATTCTGTTTCAACTCCTATAATTGACCCCCAAACTACTCTGTTGTAAAATGTTTCTTCCGTGATACCCACATCCAGTAGTTCACTGCATGTGATACTTGAAGGTAGATGCGGGGAGAGCAAGACACGGAGACACCGAGCTCCTCAGGAGAGGGGCAACCCCTGGCCATGGAAAGGCTGAGCAATCAGCCTCACAGGTAAGTCAGGGAGGGACACACCTGCATATTTTTCCCAAAGGAAAGACACCTTCTTAACAATATTTGAAGTAATTAATATAGGACTTAAAGCAGAAATGGGGGACCCCGAGGTCTGTGCAAACGTGTGTGTCCACGGATGCATACAAGGCACAAGAGAGACCTGTGTGGCCCCAGGTGTGGTCGGGAAGAGTGATCAGTAAGTTCCTGCCACAGGGTGTTCTGCAAGGCTCTTTTCAGAACGCTAGATAAGATAACACTGTCACTTTATACTCACTTCTCTAAACCCACTCCTCTCCTTGACCCATCCTCAGAGTCCTAGCTTCCCTCATGGAAGGCAAAAAGAGCTTCATGTCATGTTAGGTCATGGCTCAGCGTGGTGAGTGAGAGCTGAGATTTGTTCTCAAAGCCCTTCCATGTGCACGTGGGGGCGATGGGGAGGATGGTTGGGCAGGCTATTTTGATAGTGATTCATCTAACCAGGGGAGAACGTGCCCTTCCCGAAGTCTGCAGAAAAATCATGCGCTCTTCTATCCCAGGAGCAGTGTCATCCTAGCACCACGACACCCAGGAGCCCAACTCCAAACTCCGTAATTAACGTGCAACGTGGATAAAGCAACCAACAACAGAGAATCTTGGGGCGCCCGGGTGGCTCAGTGGTTAAGCGTCTGCCTTCAGCTCAGGTCATGATCCCAGGGTCCTGGGATCGAGCTCCGCATCAGGCTCCCTGCTCGGTGGGAAGCCTGCTTCTCCCTCTGCCACTCCCCCTGCTGGTGTTCCCTCTCTCACTGTGTGTCTCTCTGTCAAATAAATAAATAAAATCTTTAAAAAAAAAAATGGAGAATCTTTCAAGACGGTGTATACAGGATCCTAAATAACTATTAATTCTTTTGAACCAATTATGTAGCAATGTGTATTCTTTTAAAAAAAACCACAAAAACCTAGTTCTTTGCCAGACTTAGTCATTTTATTTTTTTTTATTTTTATTTTTTTTTAAGATTTATTTGACAGAGAGAGACAGAGCGAGAGAGGGAACACAAGCAGGGGGAGTGGGAGAGGGAGAAGCAGGCTTCCCGCCAAGCAGGGAACCCGATGCGGGGCTCGATCACAGGACCCTGGGACCATGACCTGAGCCAAAGGCAGATGTTTAACAACTGAGCCACCCAGGCGCCCCAAGTCTTAGTCATTTTAAATCTACAGAGCAAGTGACATACGCAGGGACATACTTTAGTTCAACGACTGAGCGCAAAATCATTGCTTCGTATACCAACATTTCTTTCGTCATCAAGCAGAGATTGGAAACTTGAGAATAACATATGTAGGGCATGTCTTTCTAAAGAATGCGGTAATTCATGATAATTTCGTCTTATTAGAGGAAACAGACAGTACAGTAGAGGGAGAGGCTTAGTGCTGACCACCAAGGAAGAAGGGAGATGGAGAAAGAGAAGTGACAGGAAGCTTGGGGAGAAAATGGCCCAAGTCACCGAGGATGTACTGATGGTGAAGGAAGGAGATAGAACTTCAGTGGTATAGACCCCACCCCGTTTTCTTCAGCGGGGTTTGACCGAGCGTGCCGCAGGGAGGATGAGGGATGACACACTGGGGTATGGAAGAAAATACGGAGCTCTGATTTTTAATTTTGTCAGCCCTAGGACACGAACGCAGTTGTTCACCTAACACCTACTGAGCACTAGCGAATTCACCAGGTAAACGCTGGATTCTAATCGCCAGCAAAGAGTTAAGGTACATGTTAGGCTCACCTAGTTCCTCAGGTTTTGCTAAGGTGGGATGGTTCAGTAAGAGTCTGATTATGGGGTCCAACATGACCGAGTGAATACCAAGAATGTGATGGACACATGGGCCAGAGCTATAAGAATCTGAGGAACACTGAAGAACAAAGAAACGTCACGTAAAGCTGTGCCAGCAAATACTCTTACTTTACTGCACCGCATCAGACACGAAAGCTTCCCCTACAGTTCCTTCTGATGCAGCTGTCCAAACATATAGGTATTTGATGGAGCAGTTCAGTGATGACCATTAGGAGCAGCATTTGGAGCTTCAGAAGCTTTAGCTCTTTGGTCAGCATTTCTCCTAGTTTCATAAAACAAATCTCATTAAACTCCCTATAAACCAAATTCCCTGGCAAACCTCAGTACAGCAGACCCTCACAGAGATCCAAAAGTTGTTTTTTTTTAAGATTTTATTTATTTATTTGACAGAGAGAGACACAGCGAGAGAGGGAACACGAGCAGGGGGAGTGGGAGAGGGAGAAGCAGGCTCCCCATTGAGCAGAAAGCCTGATGTGGGGCTTGATTTCAGGACCCTGGTATCATGATCTGAACCGAAGGCAGACACTTAACGACTGAACCACCCAGGCACCCCAGAGATCCAAAAGTTTTAAGTTATGTTCCAAAAAATATTGGCCCAGGGTAAGTGGATGAGCTAGACCCAAAATCAGCCTATGTATATATATATATATTTTTTACATTCATTCTTTTTATTTTTATTTTTTATTAGAGAGAGAGAGAGAGTACAAACAGGGGGAGCAGCAGGTAGAGGGAGAGGGAGAAGGCGGCTCCCCACTCAGCAGGGAGCCCGAAGTGGGGCTTGATCCCAGGACCCTGGAATCATGACCTGGGCCGAAGGCAGCCGCTTAACTGACTGAGCCACCCAGGCGCCCCTACATTCATTCTTTTTATTTCTATTTTTGTATCTTATGAGATACATGCTACATAAATTTCTATGTGTGTGTGTGTGTGTGTGTATATATATATACAGAGATATCTATGCATGCGTGTCTATAGTATATAAATGTTAAACATACATATATATACATATATCTCTATATCGAGCACTTCGTCTTATGCTATTATTATTGTAGTATATTCACATAATTAAGAGATAAATGCTAGTATACTTGGGAAGATGCATATATAAATGTTTTTACTCATAGGTGCACATGACCAAAAAGCTTCATGGACACCACTTCTGTGAACCAGAGGGATATAAATTTCATGAAGTTCCTAAGCAAGGTGGGTTCTGTTTGATCGTCCCAAGCACCAAAATGAATGACAGCCTCAGAATGACGGGGAGTCTGTGGACAAGAAAACGCTAACAGTACAATCATAAATGGTCCTGGCTGGGAAAGAAAAGGGCAGCCACTGCCCACACCCGTGTGGGTGCTCTCCCAGGAGGCCCGAGCTTAAAAAGACTATTTGACAATAAGGAAGGGGGTGATCCTCTGCAAAGGCAGGACAAACAAGTAGCACCTTACCAAAAAGAGCATCAAAACACTGACATTCAGGAAGTGCTGAGGGTTGTAGAAAATACCAAGGAAGAGAAGAACTTTAAAGCAAGAACTCTGATGAGAAATAATATGAGAAAGAAAGAGAATACGCAGGAAAAAATAAGATTTTCTGTGGACCTACTGTGTATTGATGACTATACTATGTTCTCTCCTTTAACATCTGCCAAAACCTGGTGACACAATTACTATAATTTGCTGCTAGAGAAATTCATTAACTTGTCCAAGATCACTCAAGCACCAACGACATGCAGAGGAGATGGGACAGAACCAGGATGCATCAGACTCCCAAACCTGGCTTCTCTCACTACACCAGGGTGCTGGTCTAATATAATGAAGAACTTCCTCCCTCCTGCCTTCCTCCCTTTCTTCTTGCTGCAAAGTATTGTGGGCTCATAATATCTTAGGCGTCTTCTTTCAGTTGTGCCAGATGAAATTCTTACTAAGAGAAGGACCATCAGTTATGACTTCTTCATTCAGGTGGTCATGCCACATCTCTGTTGAATCTCTGAAGCATATGAAGTGAGGAGGGATAAGACTCAGGCCTTCTTTCTGGGAAGCTCACATAAAGACAAATACTAGCAATATAACATCTGTGCGTTAAGAAAGGGACAGAGGCCTGGAGGAGCCCAGGAGTCACGACACAGGTATGTGATGTGAATGGTTTGCCTCTTTCTTCCCTACTAGGGGAACAAAGGAGAGGAGGGTAGAAAAATTCGACTGATGAGGATGAAACCCTAGATATGTTAGAAAAAAGTAATGAAACAATAAGATGGTTTAAATTCACTCACCTAATTATACCCTAAGGCACCTTAACAAAGAAATATTTGAAAGCAAAAGAATGTTAAGCAGAAAAGGCAAGTCCAAACTGCAGGCTGATGCTGGGTACTGTCCCTGAGCAATTTTTTTTTTTTTTCCTGTAGAACTGGTCATTAAATAGATGGTTTATGAGGATTTAGGGAGAAAGTGGTAACTTCCAGGATGAACATGGTAAAAATCAGCATTTTCCACCTTTGTTCCTGGAAGCCATCCCCAAACAAGCAGAATAGAAAGACACTGCAGACCACAGACCTCCTTTTCTGTCTAACCAGGAGAAAGATACAATCCGCCCGCTCTAACTTATGCATGAGGGCTACAAAAGCAGTTAATTGGTTGTAAGCCACATGGGAAAAAGCACAGAAGTGCAAAGCGAAGCAAGAGAGCCCAGGGGCAGCCCACCTCAGAGAGTGCTCCCCAAAATACAGGCCCTGAAGATGAGGAGAGTTTTCTGAAATGCACAAGTTTTAGTCCTTGTTTGTAGCATCTTGGGCAGGAACTGGGGCAGGCAAGGCTCCTGGGCGGAGACATGTCCAGAACTGCAACACGGCAGATCCACCTAGAGACGCACAGAACAGCCATGCTTGCAGGAAGCAGGATGCCTCTGCGGCCGCACCAATGGAGAGAGAGCGTGAGGCGAGGAAAACAGACCACGGGAGCACTGCCATGTCTCTCCCACCACAGGAACGCCTTTCTTGTAAATCACTTTCCAGAAAAGTTCCATGAACTTTCCAGAGGGGGAGGACTTAGAATCTCAAACAATTTAAAAATCACTCTTATAGGAGTGAGGAGTTGAGGATGGTAGCCAACGGAAGAACACTGGGAGGATTCTGGAAGAACTCTCCAAATATTTAAACAACTGCCGTGTGGAGGTTGGAACAGACCTCAGAAGCAGAAGTAAGATAAATGAGTACAGTTAATAGGAAGTGGTAGATAGGATTGACAGCAAGAACCATTTTTTAATCATCAGAGATGTCTAAAGTACATGACATCAATAACCAAAGACCATATGAAAAGTTACTTAACCTTAGGAGTAAAGAAATAGAAACCAAACAACCAGATGCAACTTCCAAAAATGATTTTTGGATCTATCAGATTGGCAAAAACCATAAAGATCTGTAATGGGCAGTGCAGGGAATGATGTGCCGAAATGCACAAGGCTGTCCACTGCAGTGTGAGTGGAAGTTGGTGCAACCACTGAGAAAAGCAGTATTTGTCAGAGTGCAACATATACATAATCTTTGATCTAGCATTTCCATTTCCAGGGATCTCACGTAGAGATATTCTTGCCACTGTGTAAACTTCCTGTTCAAGGATATTTAGTGCAGAGTTTTTTGTAATGGCCAAAAAAGGGAAACACCAGAAGCAACTCAAGTATCAATCAATCAGCGATTTTAAAAAAGACATGTCGTATATCCATTTCTGATGCACTACTAAAATGACAAAGCAGTCTATCTGCACAGATTCAGGACTCACTGTTAAGTGAAAACTTAAGTTGGAGACTGCTAGTTTAGTCCGCTTATAAAACAGCAATAAAAACCCCATGACAATTTTTGCTTAGTACATGCACAGAAAATCGCCTGAAAGGATTTGGAGCATGGGGTCACATCTGGTGAGTGGGGTGAGGGGTGGCAGAGTGTGTGGACTCTAGACACTTTTGTAGTTTTGAATGTACTTGTGAATGTGTTAGGTTTTTGTAATGGAAGAAATCGAGACTTCAGAAATGCAAGGGTTGATATGTGAGGTGGTGAGCTCTCTGTCGCAGGAGCATTCAAGCACAAGCCCAAGAAGCAGGGGGAGGTAGGGAGGGAAGGAAGTGGAACAGGATGACCTCTGAGTACCCTTAATATCCGGAGAGTCCTTGAACCACTCTGTGATTCTTTTCTCCTCTGATTTACCCAGGAGATGCTCCAGCAAGGTGAAAGAAAATAGAGCATTTTAAAAATGAGAGAAATCAAAGTAATCGCTGCCGAGGCCTCATGAAACCATTACCAGAGGGAAGCGGCCAATCCTGCAGTGCTTGTCCCCCTGGGTACAGATCGATGTTGCTGTGCTAAATTTGGGGGGGTGTGGCTAGCTGCAAGGAAGGCCAGGAAGCTGACGTGGGATTTAAAGCACTTGATAATTTGAGCCTTTGGCAAGCGCTCCCATGAGCGGATGGATGCCCTCCCTTCCTCCGCGGTCAGGTGGAGAACACTGCCCTTGAGTTATCCCAAGCTCCCCATCCCTGCCGCCCTGAGCCCAAGGGGGACGTCTGCCGGCTGGGTCCGTAGCTGAGTGCACCTGGCAAAGTCAGCCAGGCTTTTGTAAAGCATCCCGTCCATGTCTAGGTGCTGGAAAGGCTCCCACCTCCTGCACCCCCTTCCCCATAGGAGCAGCATGCAGAGGTGGTCTCCCGTCTGTACTCTCCTGCTTACCGTCTGTTGGCTACAAACAGCACTTTCCCTGAGAGGGTCTCTCCTTCTTTGGCAAAGAGAGGAGTGTGAAGAAGGCACCGCACCTGATACCAATGAGTCAGAGGCTCAGTTGGGGCTGTTGACAGCCAAACTGTTACCCTGTGGGGCAAGAAAAGAGTGAAGAGCCAATCATGTTTCCAGGCCCAAATTTAATGGACTGCACTGGGGACCTGGGCTGAGAGTTGGTTTCCAGGGTTTTCAACTCATGGAACCCTCTGAAGAAAAGGATAGCTCAATTTAGGTCATTACCATGTGCTGGGTCTGCACCAAGAGCTTCATGTATATTATCCCACTAAGTCTTTAAAATGACTCAATGAGGTAAGCCCTGAGAGGTTAAAGGACTTGCCCAACGTCACAAAGAGGACAGCTGGAGAGCCAGGCTTCAAAGTCGTGGACTTGGCCACTCAATCAATCTGTACTTCTGAATCAAAGTTCATTAGAAGCCCAACAAGTAAGAGAGTTCAACTGGGAAATGATTTGTTTGAAAAGCGTCTGTCAGGGTGAGAAGTCTGGAGTCTGGACTCTTCACTGTTTCATGCCAACCTGTTCAGGGAACCTGATGGGGCTTCTAGAAGCCAGAAAAGCTCCTGCGGCAGATGGTCTCTACAGTCCTTCCAGCTCGGACATCCTGCATGGGTATGTTTAAATGGATATTCTTCCTTTCATACGAGGAGGTGAGAACATCTGGATGTGCCTCCAACACCAAGGTCACCTGTCCTGGGCTCAGGCTGTGTCTCTGGTTTGGATGGAGTAAGGTGCTCCTCCAGGGTCCATTTTGACTTGAAGATTTTGGGGGGATATCTGACAAAATTTAACCGCTCAGTAATATAAACCACTTCTAGATCAAAATATCCTCAGGCATATTATGCAGTAGAACACAAATTTTTTATAGCTTTTTAGGATAAAGCATTTAACTTCAAAGAAATTCTCCCCTTGGAGCAGGCCACTTGAAGCTTATCTCCCTTGCTCCTGCAGGAACAAATTCACTGGGGGAAAGTCGGAGAAACAAATGCATGGATCCCTTGGACAAATACGCTTCTGTGCTGTAGGAATGACTCGTACATCCTTTTCTTTCTCTCTGATTGTCAGCCCAGACGAGGCTGCCAGGGATCCCCTCCTCCCTGAGCCCCCCAAGCTCCCTGAGCTTTACCACAGACCCACGGGCCCTTCTCCCTCTACAGAAGCAATGACAAGCCTGGATGTTTCTATAAGGAGTAGAGGAGAGTGTACTGCAAAAGTTTTCCTTTTGCCTGGTCATGGGACCCAGAGCAACTGTCTTTACTCGTCGGACAGCACGAGAAAGCCTGGCAAGAGAGGAGGGGAGTCAGGACAGCAGATATTTGGAGGGGGGTCCCAGGAATGGCGCAACCCTTACATGGAATACCAGACACTGAGAGTCAACTTGTAGGTGGTCTTTCTCCTCTTTTCCCTTAACCTTTCAAATCTTTTCAGGAGGGGTAAGGAGTACATGATGAAAAGGTCACCTAATGTGGCCGTTAGCATTAGCAGTCCATGCCTGCCTGTCATTAAAGAAGGGCTCTAGTCTGAGAAGCTGAAGGTGTGAACCAGAGTGGGGGAAGGTAAGATTCTGGGTACACCCACACACAGGAGGTTCTGTAACCAGGACGATGCCATGGAAGCCAAGGCGGGAGGCTTGGGGTCCTTCCCACCACCTATTCTGGAAAAGACCAAGAGGGGCTGATGAAGCCCGGATCCTCTCTCCTTCCTTCAAATCCCAATCCAATTGCCTTCAGAGGTTTCACAGTATTTTAGCCAGGGCTGATCTGACACCATGGAAAACAGTCTCATTTCGACTGGGCCCTAAAATTTCAAAGTTGCGTTCACATCGGTGCTTTATTTTCTTGACACCTAGAGAAGTGAGCATTATGGCACGGGGCCAGAGGAGGCCCAGAAGGGGGGGTGATACCTACAGAGATCCGACAAAGGCCACGTCAAACCAGAACGCCAGGCCGTGGACGAGGCCGGACTGCGTCAGCTGGAACACAAAGGGGATTTCTACTCTGCAAGGAAAAAGAGAGAGAGAGCAGAAACACTTGGAATTATTTTTGTTGTTGTTGACAGGAATACAAGACACATTCGTGAGATCAGCCAGAACATTGCCAGAATATTCTCTTCCTCTCTTAAGCACTCTGGCTCCGGCAGCAGGGTTCTCTCCATGTGTGATTCCTGCCTGGCTGAGACCACACATTTGACCACGTGGCTTCTTGACAAAGCTCGGCAAGAATCACATCACCGCTCTGCAGTGACCCGGAGGTCCCTGGGGGCGGGGCAGCATCCGGAGCGGGGTGTGAGCTCCGAGAGGAAGAAGAGGCAGGACCAGGTGACACCCGCCCTCCTAGAAGTCAGAGCAGGAACCGGGCAGCCCCCCTACACTGCTGCTTAGAAGGGAAAGGCTGGTCGGGCCGCCGAACAGAGACGTGGATCCCAAGGGGGTGCATCCAGCTAGGAAGGTCCTTGTCACAGTTCATTGATTTTTCAGGGAGGCCACTGAACCTCCCACGGGCCCGCGGTAAGCGTCACACCGACGTGGCCGTGGTTTCTACCCCCTGCAGAAAGAAGAGCGGGAAAGGCACAGCAAAATCTAGATGCTAACCTGGAAAGTCACTTAAATCCTCCGAATCTCGGTTTCGTCATCTGTTGATGGGTGACAAAACCTCTCCCACCTCCCTTGCAAGAGCGGGGAGAACAAAGATGAGAGTGCTTTGTGAACTTTTTAAAGTGTTCCACAATTAAAAGGTGATATTATTCATCCCTTGCTGAGGGGAGACTTATGTTAGTGAGTGCTCTAAAGATTTTCAAAGGAGGTCATACCTTATTTGCGTTTATGGTGCCTCCAAAGCTCTAACTTCTTTCACCCTGTGGCAGTCAGAGCATTTCTCGAGTTTTCCATTGTGCTGATCACACAGAATTGTTTGGTATGGCACTGCCATTATTTTCTTTTTCTCTCTTTTTTTTTTTTTCCTTTGCATTCCCCTAAATAGACTATGAGCTCTTCAAGGGTAGACTTTTAAAACTTACTTTTTGGGCCTGTGTAAGCACCAGCACCATACCTAGCACCTAGTGAGATCTCAATAAGCACTTGCTGAATCGACACATGTAAACGAATGACCGGAAGCCGAGACAGAGCTCATTTTCATGAACTTCCCGGGGATTCAGGAGGTGGCCCGGAGCAGCACATAAAGCCGATGGAAGTCAATTTTGTCTGGGCCTGTGGGAGTTACTAGAGTTGTTCCCAAACGCCATTTCTCTTGAGCTGAGCACACGGGAGGATTACATTTATCCACTCACCCAGGCTCAGGCTCAGCCATGTGACTTCCTTTGACCCATTAAACAGGAACAGAAGTGAGCTGTGTCGTTTCCGGGCAGAAGCTTTTAGTGCCAGGACATACTTGGCCATGCTCCTTCTTTTTGACTAAGTGGGGAGGGATGCTCTGGACAGAGGCTGGTGCGCTGGGGTGGGTGATGCCACGCAGAGCTGGAACTGTGCCCAGTGCACAGAGTGTCAGGGAGGGCTCCTGTGTTAGAAGCCACAGAGGTTTCTTCTTAGGACCACAGCAGGTTCTAGCCTGTGCTCAGACAGACCCTTTGCCCATTGTGATCTCAAGACACGTGATGGTCTGAGATGCCCAGCTGCACCTGCTAAAGTCTGGCTCTCGCTTCCTCAGTAGCCCAGGCAAAATGACAACCTGGCTGGGTCTTTTTTTTTTTTTTTTAAGATTTTATTTATTTATTTGAGAGAGAGAGAATGAGAGAGAGCACATGAGAGGGGGGAGGGTCAGAAGGAGAAGCAGACCCCCCGCCGAGCAGGGAGCCCGATGCGGGACTCGATCCAGGGACTCCAGGATCATGACCTGAGCCGAAGGCAGTCGCTTAACCAACTGAGCCACCCAGGCGCCCTGGCTGGGTCTTAAATTGCACTCAGGAAAAAAAATACACGCACATTGATCTTCTCAGGAAGAAAAAGGCAAAATACTAGTGAAAGGTCATCCAAAGGGGGTTCCTATCACCATCCGGGGAATGAGGTCTCATTTCAGAGTCTCTTCCGGTGGATGGAAGGAGGACAAACACGAACATTTATTGAGTGCCGTCTTTGAAAATGAGCCAGTGCCTGTGAAAAACTTAGCACAGGACCTAGTATGTGGTAAGCACTCAGAAAGTTGTAGCTCTTCTTCTTGATGTTATTGGCATGAGTGAGAAGGTAAACAGCCTGGACTCTGGAGCCTTCTGAATGGTTCAAATCCCAGGTCTAGCATCCTCAGTGATACTGTGACCTTGTGCAACCTACTCCGTCTCGTACCTGTCCTCCCTAAGGTGGAAGTAACAACAGTACTGTTGGCAGAGCAGACACGTGGACGACACGCCGAGTCATTATATGTAAAGGGCTCAGAACACTGGCTGGCCACGTAAGTACATGCTACTACTACTTAATTGTACACAAACAACTTTTAGAACAATCCTATGGAAGAAGCATCATTCTCCTCGTTGAGCAATAAAACGCGACTAGTACTGCTGCCCCTTCCTGGGTGTGACTCCCACCTAAGATCTCTCCCCGTGTGAGGGGCAAGGCCCTGCACTGAAGTTTTGCAGATGAGAGAGGCGGAGGAGATTCTTAAAACCAAGAGCAACACTGGTGTTTACAAACCTGTGGAGATCTGCCTCTTCTGCGTCCATAAAGTTGACTGTGTATTTGACCGTCCGAGCCATCAAAATCCTACTGTCGAATGTGTCCTTGGGGGGCGGGGGTGTGGAAAGAAGCAGAAACGTCATCTTTCTGCCAGGATAAACCGAACCCAAGCGAAATTGTGGACTGGCTTTCCTCCTGGTATTTTAAGTCAACAAGAGTTAGGGTTTGAAAGGCATGAGCTTAATGATAATAATATCATAATGATGGCTAGCATTTATTCCGTGCTTACTATACACCAAGCACGGAGTGCTTCACGCTTTCCTAAGTGCTAAGTGCTTGTTAGGTTGTATCCTCCGGTGCTCACAATATTTCTGGAGCAGGTGTTTGGTGTGTTTTCAACCATCCAGATTTTACCTCTTTTCCACATTCCAAGAAGTTCCATAAAAACTTAGCCCATCCTCAGCTCCAGGTATGGCCGGCGACCCCAGCTTGGCCAATCAGTGCATGACTTTTCCCCTGAAGATGGTTTCACAGGCAAGAACATGACCCGAGGGAGGACAATCAGGCTCCATCTAAACTAATCTGGGGCTTTGGCCCAAGTTATTAAGAGAAAAGCAGGCTCGCCTGTGGGACTTAAGAGTTGTAAGAATCTGAGGCTGGAGTTCCTGAAGCCATTTTGCTACCACAAGGGGAGACCCATAGTCAAATTAGAGGCAATGGAAATAAATTATATGGATAGAAAAATCAGATTCAAGTGACACTGTCTGAACTCCAGCAGTGGGTCTCTAGCTCCGGGCTCTGCAGTTTTTGAGGGCCAGTAATTAAGCCAGTTTTGGGGAATGCCAACTTATTGCTGTCCAAGGTCACATAGTTAGAGGGGGTCACGAATGAAACCCCAATCTGTTTGACAGCGATGCTCCTATTCTAAGCTATTTATTTTACAAAGCTTCCTCTCCTATTATGCCTTGGGCCACCAGAATCAATGGGAAGATATGAATTATTGAACAAGTGTGAGGGCTGAGTGTGTACATGGGGTGAGTCAGGGCAGTGGGGGAATCAGAAGTTACTTATTGAAAGGCAGTCAGAATATCTCCTTGCTTTCGACAGCATCGTTCTCTGAGAATTTTCTTAATTGACTGGAAGGTGAGAGCTGGAAGACTTGAGAACATAGCATTCCAAGGAGCTCTTTCTTCTTTTTGGTGATGGCTTCGCAGAGCCTGGCAGCACACCACCTCCCAGGTGCATGAGTGAACGAGCAATCAAATCCTTAGATAAACAGATGGAGGAGAGTGTGTGATGACACCCACTTACTACTATTGGCTGTCTGAAATACTCGTCCACTGCAGCCCCCCGGAGACTGGACAGGTTGACCCCATAGAAGCATTGCTGGTACCTGAAAGGGAGCACAGAGAATCACATGCACCTTGTCCCTCACCAGAGTCCCCAAGCCCCTTACAGCTGTGACACGCTGGGAAGCTGCCTCACAGGTCCTCAAAGGCAGCCACGAGCACGTGAGCGAGCACGTGAAGGCAAACTGGTCTAGAGGGAGTAGCAGACGAGAAAAGGCTCTCCAGCGAATCTGCGGACGTGTACTTGACCTGCGGTGGGGGGAGTAGCTGAGGTGAAGGACAATGCCTGTGGAAAGATCATGGGCGGTATCTGTGGGTACGAAGGCCTCTGGGTTCCCACCCTTGACCTCACGCCCCGAGGTGGCTGCCTGCTCCGTGGCATGCTGTCCCGATCCTGAAATACAATTCCCTGACCCTCTCATTATCCAGCCCAGAGCCCGACTTTAGATCTCCAACGTCCCCCCACATTCCTGCTGTTTCAGGAAACAGATTGCTCTCTCCGGTTCTTCCGTAGCCATGGGCCAGCAGCTTCCTGATGGCACCGGCCGCGGCGGCCGAGTGAACTGGAGCCTGCTCGTCACAGTCCGCGGCGCGCGTTTCTTCTCAAACCTGTGGTCAGTGACATTCGACCACAGAAAGTGACCAACGCTATAGCCCTCACTTCCTTCCTCTGGGAGCCAGATGCAAAGCAGTTACGGCCACACCACTGGCCGCGTCTTACCTCCGCGTCCCCGCTACACCCCAGGCCGTGCCTCGGACACAGCAGGTGCTCTGTGTCGGCGTGGCGAGTGGTCTGCACTCCCGAGAGAAGAGATCTCGGGGGTGGATTAGGAGAGGCTTTATTCAGGCTCTGCCAGCGACTGGCTCTGGGCCCCACACAAGTCACCTGAACTCTGCCTGTCTCCCTTTCTCTGAAATGGGAATAATTACATGCTCACTCTGTAGGCTTATATAAGCATTAACGGAATTAACACAAGGAACGGTGAGCAGCACTTGGCCTTTTGTTACCACCGCCTGAGCCGGCTGTTATCCTCTGAATGCCGCCTTCTCAGGTCAGCGCTGGGACCAGGGCAGTGGTTCCCAATCTGTGCTGTGGGAGGACTTGGGGGAGGGGGGCTTTTAAAAATTCAAATTGCCAGGCCCAATTCTAGAAAGCAGCCTGGGAGACCTTATCACTAGAGATTGAAAGTCTTTATCCTGAGATTGAAAAGCAGCTTCCCTAATAAGGGTGCGTGTGTGTGTGTGTGTGTGTTTGCCTTGTGTGTGTGTGCATGCGTGTGTGCATGTGCATGTGTGCGTGTGTTTGCCTGTGTGTGTGTGCGTGCATGTGCATGTGTGCTTGCCTGTGTGTGCTTGCCTGTGTGTGCGCGCGTGCGTGCATGCATGTAGTGTGTGTGTGCGTGCGTGTGTTTGCCTGTGTGTGCGTGCGTGTTTGCCTGTATGTGCGTGTGCGCGTTTGCCTGTGTGTGTGTGCGTGCGTGTGCACATGTGCGTGTGTGTTTGCCTGTGTGTGTGCGTGTGCGTGCGCGCGCGTGTGTGTGTGCGTGCATGTGTGTTCTACAGCCTGCGAATCAGACAGGGATTCACTTCATCACTCCCCATCCTCTCCCAGTCCTATGCCTGCCAGCCTGCAGGGAAGACAGGAAAACAACCAGCACCACAAAGAATAAACATACAAAATTTAAATTTGTGGTTCAGCTCAGTTTGGATGGAAAGACCAGCCAAAGCAAGGTCCTAAATCCAAAATCAAAGCCTCCAAGGCCCTCAAAAGAGGCAGGGAGGCCTCATAACATTAAGTCGACAGCCAGTTCTCAACCTGCAAGTGAAAAGCAAGCCCCACCAAGCTACCTACAGATCCTGAAGGGCACATACAATTTCTCACCACTGAGCCTCTACTTATTTTCCCTTCTGCCTAGAAATCCCCTTTCCCTCTTTTGTCCTGTTAATTCCTATCCCATCTGTGAGACTCAGCTCAAATGTTCCCAATCACAAATTTTAAGACTTGTGTTACAGTAAAATATTTAAGTTTAACCCACTTAAAAGTGAAAGTATTTTCTAGGGGGCCTGGGTGGCTCAGTCGGTTAAGCGTCTGATCAGCTCAGGTCATCCTCCCAGGATCCTGGGATAGAGCCTTGAGGCGGGCTCCTTGCTCAGTGGGGAGTCTGCCTCTCCCTCTCCTTCTGCCTCTGCCTCTCCCCATGCTTGTGCACTCTCTCTCTCCCTCTCTCTCTCAAAATAAATAAATAAAATCTTTAAAAAAGTGAAAGTATTTTCTTATTCATCAGCGTGTATTTAGCACAAGGCTGGTATACTGTGAGGATTAAAAATTACCTATCCAGCTAGCTATCATCGATCTCTCTTTAACGAATGAACTGAGGACTTGGTGTCCTTCACAGGCCTATGAATGGTAGAGGTGCCAACGAAGATAATGGAGAAATGGAAAATCATGACCCCAAGTTTCTTTCGTTTCATTACATATTTTTTAAAAAAGATTTTGTTTATTTGAGAGAGAGAGAGAGCATGGTTGTGGGGGATAGCGGCAGAGGGAAAAGCAGACTCCCGGCTGAGCAGGGAGCCTGATGCAGGATTGGATCTCAGGACCCTGAGAGCATGACCTAAGCCCAAGGCAGACGCTTAATGCTTAACCAATTGAGCCACCCATGTGCCCCTCATTACTTGTTTCTTAATCTTCTCCTTCCACCAAGGGCCCCAGGTAGCCTGGCCCACAGGTGAAGCATATCATTTTATGAATACACATCCTGAAAACAAGGCTCCTATATGCCTAGAAAATACTTGGAAACAGAGCACTGCAAGTTTAAACAACCCTTTCAGTATTTAGAAGGAGAGTCAAGGTGTTTTTGGAGAAATAAGTCATCATCACAATAGTTTTTATTAGAGGGAAGGAAGAGAGGGAAGGAAGGGGGTGGGGAGAGAGGGGAGGGGAAGGACAGAGGCAGAAACAATTTCCCAGAAAGCCCAGAAGGACTCAGTCCTGTCCATCCTTCAGAATCCCCCAAGAAGCTTTTGAAATGCTGATGTCCGGACTGCATCTGTCCAATTGTGGTTTATTTGATCCAGGCGTGTAACCCTCTTGTTTGTTTCCAAAGCTCAGTGGGTGATTCTCTTGTTAAGCCAGGGTTGAACACTACAGAGTTACCTGTTCTTCAGTCCTCACCAACTGGCGAAAGAGAATCCCCACGGACAGAGACTGCCCTCCACCTGGCAGTGCGGGAGGCTGCAAACTGCTCTCCAGGCCTTGGGCACAACCTCAGAGGAGCCAAGTCTGTGCCCTTTGCCTTGTGTGTTTGGTGCCAGTTAAAACCCAGCAGCCGTGATTAGTGTGGTACACACCAGCACCACGCCTGGGCAGACAGAGCCGTGGGCCCCCTGCCTGGGTTTTAAGAACTTTCTGGCCGGACCGTCTTTCGAACTCTTAGAAATCTCAAATCTTCTGAAATGCATCACAAAATAGTTAAAGCAGACGGGACTGGCATCTCTGTGGGTCTCCTAAGATACACTGTTGGGTGGTGAATCAGGAAATGATTCAGTTGACTTGGAAGCTGCGGATATTTCCATTGTTTTCATCTTATGTGGGTTTTATTTTCCAGGTTAACTTTTGGCCTCTTAATGAGTCCATAAGGCAGAGACTACGTGTAGTTTTTGCTCTTGACTTCACATTTCCAACTGTCCTCCCCCTCTCCCCTCCCTCTCCACCATAATCCATGCAACGTCTGGAAAGTTCTGCAAATATAGCCCAGAAGGAAAATAATTGTACTATTAGCTATGCCTAAACACACCCAGAGTGCAGAGAAACAGGCAACCCATTTACTATGACGTTAACTTCTCCAAGTTCTACACACAGAGCCCAGCTTGGAGAAACATCCAAGGAAGCTTTCTCTCTGGCCTCCTTTGTCTTTGGCTCTTCGCTAGTTCATCTGGGCCTTTGGTCCTTTCTCCTCATTCACACAGCTCTCCCTACCAGCCTCCTGGATCTGTCTTGGAAGAACAGTGCTACTGCCTCTGTTGTCTTAGAGATGTTAGCACTGGCCTTCAGCTTTCATGGACGGGAGCTTCTGCAACGCAAGCACTTTCTTTGCTAATATGAACACGCTGTCTCATGGCAAAACTCACATACTTTACTTTAATAAAAATCTTTGTCTCTTCAGTCTATCCTAACCAAAAGCCCACTCATCTCCATTAAGAAGCTTGAAAAAAATTTTAAAAAGACAGAAAAGAAAGGGAAAAAAAAGAAGGAAGGAAGGAAGATAAGGAGAAGGAAAAACTGTATTCTACTGTTTGATAATCAAGCAATTCTTTTGTGTCTTAATGTCCTATGCTTTACCAGAATTGACAACGAAGGGTATGCCAACCTGATGAGAGGTACAGAAGCCCTAAGAACTAGAAGACAAATACAGGGATCCAGGAATGTCACTTAAGACATACACGGTATTGAGGACGCAGCCTAAGAGGGTGGCTGGAACGGTCTGGTGGGGGTGCCTCATAGGAGAAGGATGCATGTCTAGGAACAAACTGTACCTTTTTAATTTCTTAGACATCCCGTATATATACCAGGACTTGAGGCTTGGTAGTTGCGACAATTTTCTGCATCAGTAGAATGGAGACGTACCACTGTGTACATTGGTATCTATAAAGATGCTCAGCTCATTATGTATCTTGTTTTTTTGGGTTTAAACTCCAGCAAATTAATGTGGCTTATATTTTATATGTGATATATTTATATACTTTTCATATTTTTAAAAATGTGTTTTTTATTATGGAAAAAGAGGGGGGAAGGAGTGCATAGTCCTTAAAAGAAACCAAGCTTCAGACCGTGCATCTTTCCTAAGAAGTAAGCGAAAGCCTGTGATTCTATAAAGGAACCCGTGGTGCATCCTTAGGCGTGCCCGTGTAAATCTAGACATTACTGGTTTGCATAACAACTGGACCTATGGAAGATGTATCAGAAGGAAAAGGAGATCTGGCAAGACAATGAGAAAGACATCTCTTGTTTGTTGCTCTTCTTCTGATAACAGCACCAGATTCT